ATGGTAGCCAAAATTGTCCCAGCATTGCTCCAACGTTGGTAGTCAATGTTGTTTTAAAGTTAGCAGCCAACATTGTCCCTACATGTTCCTAGTGAACATTATTCCAACGTTGGTAGCTAGCATTGTCCCAACGTTGGCAACCAACATTGTCCCAACGTTGGTAGCCAATATTGTCCCAACGTTACTAGTCAACATTGTAAGCATATTACCAATTTATTGGCAATTCCCCATGATCATAATTAGATTCTGAAAAGATCAATTGAAAAGTTCATAGTCGTAAAGAATACAGGAAGTGATTTTCAAAAATCATCTCCCGCCAGAAGAGACAACTTCCGGTCGACATCCGGCAGGAACCGGGCATCCACGAATATAACCTCATCGCGTGGAAATTCATTGTTTCATTGATTCCATCGATTCATTCATGTTATCATCTGTTATCATCGCTCATATTCATTCATGACTTCAATTATAAACATGGAGGGCTTATTAATTGATCCACAGATCGATGATTTTGCGAGTCCATCGAGTATTACAATCCACGATCTTCCTGATGATTGTCTAATCAGGATTTTTTCGTATTTGGAAATTCTTCAGAAGTTGGAGGCGGAGAAAGGTATAACAAAAAAAATGAATAAAAAATTGTTTAGTAATTTGAAAATCTCTTTTTTTCTAAATAATGCAAAATTTGCAATAATTGTTGATAGATAATTGTTGAGAACGATTTACAAAAATTGCTAAATCGTTATTCAATTGTTCAATTGTCATTTTGTGATTTTTTGATAAATTGTTTGAACAATTATCAAGTTCTTATACGACTATAATAAGATTAATATTTATGTTGATATTAATCGTATTATAATATTCTCATTATTATTAATTATTATTATATTCTATTATTTTTAATGATTACATTTTTTTTCTATTGTTTGTTCAATTTCTCCTCAAATTGGAAGAAAATTTTAGTGTTCGGAATTTTTTGAATGCATTAATTCATCAATAAATGCACTTTTTGATAAGGATTGTTCAAAATTAAATAATAAGTGAATTAATTGATTCATAATTAATTGCTATCACATTATGTAAATCAACTTTTTAATGATTGTTGATAAATAATTGTCGAGAACAATTTACAACAATTGTTTAACCGTTGTTCAATTATTCAATTGTCATTTTATGATTTTTTCGTCGATTTTTTGAACAATTGGTTAATTTTTCGTTAAATAGGAAAAAAAATTGTGTTTAAAATTTTTCTAACGCATTAATTGACTAATTAATGCATTTTTAATGAAGACATTGTCCAAAAGCCAATAATGCGTGAATTAATTGATCCAATTAATTTATCTAAAATAATGCAAACAAACTTTTTAGTAATTGTTAATAAACAATTGATCAATGGCTCTTCAAATTGGAAGAAAATTTTAGTTTTTACAATTTTTTAAATTCAATAATTCATCGATTAATATATTTGTAATGAAGCTTAATCATTAAAAACCACATAGTTTATTAAATAATGGATCAATTAATGAGTTAAGGCTCGGGTGTACTATCTTTCGAACGTTATCTCGATGTTTTTTTCATCTTTCGTCATCTGAAATTGTCAATTGAGTCCTGCAACATGCAGAAATTTTGAAAAATTATGAATGAATAATAAAAAAAAAGTAGAAAAAATTCTTAATTTTTTCAACGAGCATTTTTAATTTATATTCAGAATAAGTTGAATAACAAGAAATTGAAAAATGTGTCTGATTTACGGTGGCAAATGGCGGTCTGTCACCCAATATCATGCAGGGGGAAGACTGATTTCGTAAATATTTTCCCACTGCACAGAGACATTTATTACGGAAAAGGCTCTTTGAAAAAAGTTGTAATATTTTGGAGAATTTTTTAATCACATTTTTATCACAAAAATGGCAGATGACTATATACCACTGTTTTGAAAATTGAGGTACCTAGCTGTCACTTCCCATGAGGAGTTAGTGTTTTGTTATCCACCATGGAAAATAACAGCTAATAGATAATTTGCCGCAGCGAATCAGCTATGTGTAATTTCCCCTTTTTTCAACTCATTCTGAATCTCAATTAAAAATGCTCTTTGAAAAACTTCAGAATTTTTTCGATTTTTTTAATCATTCTAGCATAATTTTTGGGAATTTCTACATGATGTACCACTCAATTAACAATTTTGGATTACGAAAGATGGAAAAAAACCAGATAACATTCGAAAGATAGTACACCCGGGCTATCAAAATTAAAAATCAATCCAATGAATCAATTCAAAACGTTAAAAACCTTTCATCGTTTCGAGATTTCCCTCAAATCACCCAATCAACGAACCAATCGACCAATTAGTGAATTTTCTAGTAACGAATAATTCTGAAAAATGAACCAACCCATTAACAAATGAATTTAATTAACTCAGTATGCAGACGTTGGTACAAAATAAGCAAGAGAGGCTGGCGAGACGTGAAGACTCTCTGTCTGAAGGACAAATACCCCGACTGCAACATCAGACAAGCCACGAAGCTCCTTCGCAGGTCAGGACGTCTTCTCACGTCCCTCAGGATCCCCGCCAATTACGAGAGATCGGTTTACTTGAGAGTCCTCCAGAAATACTGCCCCCAGATCAGGAAACTTGAACTCGTCTTCGATTACTGGGCCTTTCGCCCTGTCCTGGAGTGCCATGCCAAGAGCTTAGCTGCGCTGTTTTCAACTCTCGAGAAACTTAATTGGCTTGTTATGGAGCAGATCAATGGGGAGGTGGGAAACAAGCAGCTGAGGGCTCTTCCGGGGGGCCTCCAGAGCCTCGAGATGGCTGGGAGCCTGGGGTACAGCATCAATGTCCTCTTTTCTGCTGTGAGAATCGAAATTAATTTTTTTTAAGTAAAAAAATCTTTTTTTAAGAAGCAGCAGTTGAAATTATTGGGTTCATCGAATAATCCTGGAGTATTTTTTGTAGAAAATTCTCCAAACTAGAAACATTTTTTCCTAGATGATAATCATCAACATGATCGATTAAACAATTAGGGACATTCTTCATTTTCGATTTTTGTTTTGTTTAATCGTTTCGTTTCATTTGTCAGGTAGGAAGCTCTGTGAATCGTCAATATCTCCTGCCCCAATGATGCGATTGCGATGAAGCAGGCCTCATTTTGAAGGCTGGCAAAATACCTTGAAAATGAAAAGAAAATTTTTGGATTTCACTCAGCCGATCCTGAGATATTGATGATTAAAAGAGGGGGGTTTCGTCTTCCTTTTTTTTCATTATTTTGATTTTTGTTGTGTTAAATCGTTATTTTGACAGGGAGTGGCTGCAGGAGGGAATGTCGTGAGAAATTTTTTGTAGAGAATTTTGTGCGTTACAAAAAAGGTCTAGTGATATTTTTTCGGAGGACCACTCATTATGGAGATAATTGGAGAATTAGGAAAGTGTTCTGTTTGCTTTTTTACGTTTTATAATTTTTTAGGTCATGTTAAATTGTTGATCACGTCGATAGGGACTCGTCTTAAGGAAAAATGTCATAAAACATTTTTTGTTGAGAGGTTTGTGAGCTACAGAAAAGATCTAGAGACATTTTTCGATACAATTTATAGTTTTGGAAATATTACGAGTTTTTCGAATAGAAAATCGAATGAACTTTTTTCACAACATTTTGTTTTTTTTATTGCTTCAGGATCTTTCAAAGTTTCAAAATCTTCAGCTGCTGTCCCTGGAATATTTTATCATCCAGGAAGTGAGTTTTCGAAGCCTTGAGCAGCTGAAGCACCTGAAGGAGCTGAACCTATCGTTCTCTTATGTCCCTGAGGCGAGCATTAAGAAGATCCAGAATTTCGAGAAACTTGAGAGACTGGAGCTGAGGCAGAGAAAAATTGAGGGGTTAGATCCGAAGATAATTCGGGATCATCATATCTGTGATATTGTCGAGGGCTGTAAGAAGCTGAAGGTCTTGAAATTGGATGGTACATGAGCTTGCATTACTTTAATTACTTTTAAGTCAATGAAATTAGTAAATCAATTCAACACAATGTGAAGTCATTGTCAGTTTTACATGATTATCTCGTTAATGAGTGGTTCTAGAGAAAAATGTAAGAGGACATTTTTTAGAGAAAATTTCAAGACCTACAAAAAAGATTCTATGCCGGTTTTCTCTAAAACCACTCGTTATCGATATAATTGAATAAAATGAAACTCTAATTTTGTAAATTTTAATGGATTTCTCTCTTTAGGATTGGAAAGGCTCACAGATCATTCCTTTAGAGCCATATCGACCCTGAGGCACCTGGAGACCCTCCACATGGAGAGGATGCCGAAGGTGACGAACAGGGCCATTGTCAGCTTGCACCAAGTCCAGAACTTGAACTGCAGCCACTGCTCTGGGATCGACAATCAGGGGCTGAAGCAGTTGATCGAAAGTTCCCAAAATCTGGTGGATCTGAAGGTTCAGGGAACTGCAGACATGAGGACATTCCTCCACGATGTCAGTGAAGCCGTTAAAAATCGTAAGTCAGTACTGACGATTGATGTTGGGGATAAAGAAAAGCCCTTGGTGAGGCCTGAGAATTTCCCAATTTCTGTTGTCTTGATTTAGAGTTTTTAATTGATTAGGAGGATAATTAGACGAGAATTGCTTCATTCAAACATCGAAAATGATTAATTTGTGGGAAATATGAGAGTAAATATCGGTAAATATTGACGTTTATTTTCTTTAGTTTTGCGAGTGAAAACATTTTATGTTCATCGTTTGATTAATTCGTTTATTTTTATAAATTATGTATGATTTATTGTGAAGATTGTTATCAGGTTTTTGTTGAAGTAATTTGTGTCTAGTATTGACGATTGAAAGGCATTTTTCTCTTTTTATGAAGGAATTTAGGATGAGAATCAGGTGAAAAATGGTTCTATTCAAGATAAAATACAATTAATTTGATAAAGACTAATGATCTAATTTTCGTAATGAAAATGTTTTTTTGTCATCATCAAATCATTTAATTCGTGTTGAATGACCCAATATTGATTTATAAAACGTATTTTTCATTGTTATAATGAATTTAAAACTGAATTAAAAAATTAATTTCGAATTTAAGATAATTAATTCACAAAATCATTCCTTTTCATATTGAAATCCATTATTCACTGAACGAGGAGTAAAATAATTTGTTCTCTGAATTATCTCAAATCATTCAAGTTCACTTAAAAAATATGATGAATTTTATCTACTGACTACTTCCACAATGTAATAAAACAAAGAATTCTTGAAATTTGTTTTAAGTCATCATCAAGTCATTTAATTCGTGTGGAACGACCCAATATTAATTTTTGAAACGCATTTTTCATTTACGTAATTAATTTCAACCAAAATTAAAAGGAAATTGCATTAATTTCGAATTTAAGATAATTAATTCATAAAATCATTCCTCATCTTCACATTGAATCCGTAAAATAAAGAATTCTTGAAATTTGTTTCAAGTCATCAAGTCATTTAATTGGTCTTGAATGACCCGTAATTAATTTAAAACACGAATAAGTATGAAATGGCTTCAATTTCGAATCGAAGATAATTAATTCAGGGAATCATTCCTCATTTTCATATTGAAATCAATCATTCAATGATTACCTACTGGAAGGAGAGCAAAATAAATTGTTCTCTGAATTATTAGGTTGAATGTGCAATATTCCCACCTAAAATTTTAATTTAAACCACACATTATGATAAAAAAGTATTGAAACTTATGTCAAATCATTTAAGTGTCGAATGATCCGATATTCATTCTTGAGACGCATTTTTCGTTTTCATAATTAATTTCAACCAAAAATGAACAGGAAATTGCATTAATTTCGAATTTAAGATAATTAATTCATAAAATCATTCCTTTTCATATTGAAATCCATTATTCACTGAACGAGGAGTAAAATAATTTGTTCTCTGAATTATCTCAAATCACTCAAGTTCACTTAAAAAATATGATGAATTTTATCTACTGACTACTTCCACAATGTAATAAAACAAAGAATTCTTGAAATTTGTTTTAAGTCATCATCAAGTCATTTAATTCGTGTGGAACGACCCAATATTAATTTTTGAAACGCATTTTTCATTTGCGTAATTAATTTCAACCAAAAAAAAAGGAAATTGCATTAATTTCGAATTTAAGATAATTAATTCATAAAATCATTCCTCATCTTCACATTGAATCCGTAAAATAAAGAATTCTTGAAATTTGTTTCAAGTCATCAAGTCATTTAATTGGTCTTGAATGACCCGTAATTAATTTAAAACACGAATAAGTATGAAATGGCTTCAATTTCGAATCGAAGATAATTAATTCAGGGAATCATTCCTCATTTTCATATTGAACTCAATCATTCAATGATTACCTACTGAAAGGAGAGCAAAATAAATTGTTCTCTGAATTATTAGGTTGAATGTGCAATATTCCCACCTAAAATTTTAATTTAAACCACACATTATGATAAAAAAGTATTGAAACTTATGTCAAATCATTTAAGTGTCGAATGATCCGATATTCATTCTTGAGACGCATTTTTCGTTTTCATAATTAATTTCAACCAAAAATGAACAGGAAATTGCATTAATTTCGAATTTAAGATGATTAATTCATAAAATCATTCCTCATCTTCACATTGAATCCGTAAAATAAAGAATTCTTGAAATTTGTTTTAAATCATCATCAAGTCATTTGTTCTCTGTCATAAGAAACCATTCTCAAATCATTTAAATAAGTTTCCTTTAAAAATCTGATTAATTTTATCTACTGACCATGTGATACAGCAAATAATTCTTGTGATAATCGATGTAAAGGTCAATAAAACCACAATTTTCCGATGACAACTGTATTATTATTCACTCTAATAATAGATACAAAAGTGTTCAATTTATTTTGGCACTAGAGGTGCACCACTAGGAGTCCCCTCCAACCAAAAACCGTACAGTTGTACGCACTATCGACTAGTTCTTCACGATAACAAATTCTTTTCATTTCCGTGCGTGGGTGCGCATAATCCGTCTATTGTCATCCAACAGATCGAGAGAATGCGAAAAAAAACTCAACAAAAATGTCCTCTTGAGGGTAAAAATTGTTCGAATAGGGTAAATGTCAACGAAAAATGTAACTAAATTGTTTGTGGTTTGAGATGGAGAAATAAACGAATAAAAACGATGGAAAATTAGCATTTCGATAGCAGAATTTTGTTAATTATTCGCGTTCCTATCTACTTTATATTCAAATTCATTAGTCGCATGAGGTGTTCTATCGAATATTAATGAAATTGTACGCTCGAGGGATAATGTACGTCGATTATTTTCTCTTTTCACTGATATAATCAGCTATAAGTACTTTAAAAAATAACGATTGAAATAAAGAAAGAAAAAATAACGGAATCATCGAGTGGAGTGAGTGATCCAGCGAGGAAATGAGGATCATTGGAGAACATAATTCATAGAGCAGTTGTAAAATTAAAACAATTCTCCAGCTCTTCAACACAACTTCTAGATCAAATCCACTCATTAATAGAATATACAATGCTGCAAGATTTTTCAAAAATTTCTATAAAAAATTCTATAAACAATTCTTTGCTGTTCAATAATTGCAAACATTCCAAAGAAAAAGAAACAAAAATTCTTTGTTTTGGGGGAGGGGCAGAACGAGGAGTTGGAGTCTGTTTTTTTAAAAATATCTTCAAGATATTTAACTAATATTTTTCAGGGGTTTCGCTTGGATTTTTAGAGAGGAAATAGAGTGCAGTGAAAGAAATGCGGAAATTCATCGTGAGGAATTCAATAAAAAATATTTTAATAGAAAAATTGTATGGAAAGATCAAGATCTACTCATTTTTTCTATAAAATAAGTTTTGTTCAAATAAACATGCTAAATTTTCAATCGAAGTCCAACATAATTTTCTGACTTTATGAACGAAATCTCGAGGAATTTAAATAAAAAATATCTCAATTCGATCAAAAGTTATCCATCAAATATTTATTTTTCAGAAATTTTTTCAATAAAAATCAATCAAAATTTTCCACGAATGCACTAATTTTTTTATGAGATGATAAAATATATTGAAAAAAGAAACTCTGCGAAGGTATCTCGATGAAATTTTTATAAAAATATCAATCGAAAAAGTTCCACTGAAAATGAAAAAATTAATTGAAAGAAAATTTTAACAGAATATTCAAGCGAATGCTCTAGAACTTCCATAAAATTGTCTGTATCAAGTTAAAAAAAACGGAAAAGTTCAACAAAAAACCTACTAAAAATGACCGAATGCCCTAGAATTTCCATGAAATTATTTTTTGGAATTGATGCACACAATTTCATGAAAAATAGAGTCGAAACAACAGTAATTATTGCTCCTCATGCTCTAAAAAATCCTTTAAGGGTAGAGGGACTCTGTTTATATCAAATTCTCGAATTGTTTTTTCTCTTACAATTATTAATTTATCTATGAAATTAAGAATTAATTGATCTATTAATCAATAATCATTAATAATTAATTATTAATTGATGATAATATCAAGTAATTAATAATAATTAATTGTTAATAATAATTAATTATTAATTATCTACAAAACTCATTGTCTTGTCGAGTCAATGAAGTAGTTCAAAGTAGTTTCATGAATAAAAGATAATAATTGCAGGAGAAAACCCAATTCTAAAAGTTCATAAGGACACAGTGACTCCGTTTCCCCTTAAACCTCCAAAACCCCCTCGTGTCCCTCCCCCACGTGCCCCCACATCCCCGCCAACGAGTACCCGTTGAAGCCCCCTATGCCTACCCCATCCTACCGACGATGGGCCCTACGAATCCAACAAGTACTGATTGGCCCTGATGCTCCTCAACGCATGGTGAGCTGCCAGTACTGAGCCAGCCTCTCCCCCTTATTCATCACCATAGAGCTGGGTCTCTCAAAAGTGAGCATAATATCCCTGACCCTGTTCTTGATCTCCTTATCAAAGAGTTGTCCCCCAGTCCTCTCAAGAGCACTCGCCATATCGTACTCCACCGAGGGCAGAGGATCATTGATGAACCTGCAAGATTATTGAATTTTCAAATTTAATTTTAAAAGAAGAAAATGAGAATTTAAATCCAAAGGAAAATTGAGTGAATAATTCAGTAGCGAAGTGGTAAAACGGTTTAAGTCGACTTACCTCCCAGTTGAGTTTTTGAAGAATATTTCCGAATCTAAGAAAAATAGGGAAATTTTCGTAATTGCATTTGTTGTAGCTCTCAATCGGCTCTACAAAAAAGGTTATAACAAAAAAATTTCTATCTCTCTTAGATTCCGAGATATTTATTGAAAACTGGCCAATAGTCAAAATTGACTTATACGGTTTTACCACTTCGCTACTGAATTGAAAGGGAAATGAGTCCCCATATGACCCACATATGACCCTTGTGACCCTTAATCTAACCCTTGTGACACTTATAAACTTTATTTTGATCCTTGTAACCCTTAATTTTGGACCCTTTATTGCGAGTACTAAATTTTCATCACCAGAAATCAATTTCGATTTTTATGATAGAGAGATATATTTATTTATTTATTTATTTGTCATCTCCTTACCCATGTGACCCTTAATCTGACCCTTATTTGGACCTTTTTCTGACCATGATGACTCTTAATTTGAGCCTTGCGACTCTTAATCTGACTCTCATGAAACTTAATCTGACCCCCATGACCCTTATAACTTTATTTTGACCCTCGTGATCCTTATTCTGACCCTTATGACCCTGATTTTTGATACTCATGACCATTATTATGACCCCCGTGACCCTTATTTTGAACCTTATGACTGATTATGATCCTCATGACCTTATTTTGAACCTTATGCCTCTGATTCTGATCCTCATGACCATTTTCCCCTCGTGACCCTAATTTTCACTCTCATGACCCTTACTCTGACCTTCATGATTTTAATTCTGGCCGCCGTGACCCTTATTTTGAACCTGATGACCTTTATTATAACCCTCATGACTCTTAATCTGATCCCTGTGACCGTTAATCTGACCCTCATGACCCTTATTCTGACCCCCATGACCCTTATAACTTTATTTTGACCCTCGTGATCCTTATTCTGACCCTTATGACCCTGATTTTTGATACTCATGACCATTATTTTGACCCCCGTGACCCTTATTTTGAACCTTATGACTGATTATGATCCTCATGACCTTATTTTGAACCTTATGCCTCTGATTCTGATCCTCATGACCATTTTCCCCTCGTGACCCTAATTTTCACTCTCATGACCCTTACTCTGACCTTCATGATTTTAATTCTGGCCGCCGTGACCCTTATTTTGAACCTGATGACCTTTATTATAACCCTCATGACTCTTAATCTGATCCCTGTGACCGTTAATCTGACCCTCATGACCCTTATTCTGACCCCCATGACCCTTATAACTTTATTTTGACCCTCGTGATCCTTATTCTGACCCTTATGACCCTGATTTTTGATACTCATGACCATTATTTTGACCCCCGTGACCCTTATTTTGAACCTTATGACTCTGATTCTGATCCTCATGACCTTATTTTGAACCTTATGCCTCTGATTCTGATCCTCATGACCATTTTCCCCTCGTGACCCTAATTTTCACTCTCATGACCCTTACTCTGACCTTCATGATTTTAATTCTGGCCGCCGTGACCCTTATTTTGAACCTGATGACCTTTATTATAACCCTCATGACTCTTAATCTGATCCCTGTGACCGTTAATCTGACCCTCATGACCCTTATTCTGACCCCCATGACCCTTATAACTTTATTTTGACCCTCGTGATCCTTATTCTGACCCTTATGACCCTGATTTTTGATACTCATGACCATTATTTTGACCCCCGTGACCCTTATTTTGAACCTTATGCCTCTGATTCTGATCCTCATGACCATGTTACCCCCGTGACCCTAATTTTCACTCTCATGACCCTTACTCTGACCTTCATGATTCTTATTCTGACCGCCGTGACCTTTATTATAACCCTCATGACTCTTAATCTGATCCCTGTGACCGTTAATCTGACCCTCATGACTCTTATTCTGACCTTCATGACCCTTATGCCCCTGATTCTGATTCTCATGGCCATTGGACCCCCGTGACCCTTATTTTCACCCTCATGACCCTTAATCTGACCTTTATGATTCTTATTCTCACCCCAGTGACCCTTATTTTGACCCTTATGACCCTCAATTTTGGAGTCTCAATTTCTCGTATCAAATTTTTCAGAGAGATATATTTATTTAATAATTTATTTATTATTCATAAGCTAAGATAACCTTGAAATATTCCCAAGTCTAGCATATGCTTGGCGAAATAGATTGCTGCCAAAAAATGTTTGCCCTCTTTCTTCCTAACTATTACAAAATTTTCACTCCCAGTGTTAAAATTTAATGACAAACCTAGCAGCAGTAGCAACACTCGGTAAAACATGAAACTGCAGTGCCTTGATCTCCCAGAGACTGCTGGAGAGTGCATTGCTGAGTAGAGGATCCCTCTCCTCCATGAGAAAAGGGTCTCCAACGCCAGGATTGTCGTTCTCGCAGACAATTCCCCCCTTGGGATGATCGATGAGCCTCTTGAGTCCAGGATGCCTCAGCAGAAGATTCCCAATGAACAGCAGAATGATGAGGATGTCCTCTGGGGGTGCCACGAGTGTCAGCCTAGCCAGCCTCTTGGCGAAGGCAGCGACGAGGGCCTCCGGGAGATGAGTGGAGCTGAGGAACAGATCGGAGAGGTAGAACAGCCTTGCTTTGTACTTTGTGTGGAATATCTCCGGCTCGAACATGGAGTAGAGCTTTGTGAAGATGTTGGGGTACTCCAGGTTGTGCTTTGTGACGAGGAGGAAGACCCCCTGGAGGGCTAGGAGGCCGATGGGGCCGTCGGCGTCGAGGGAGTCCATGAGGAAGTCTGTGAGGAGCACTGGCTTCTCCAGGTGTGGCATTATCCTCTCCAGGAGAACGATCAGCAGGTGCTTGTGGAGCTGGGGCGAGAGCTCCCAGTGCATTATGCAGGACCAGGTTTTGTTCAGGGTCCTTCTGACTGATGCCTGGTCCCAGGTGAAGGTGCATGTGCCCTCGCGACCGCAGAGCAGCTCCTGCGAGGGCTCGTCCTCGTTGGGGAGGGGAATTTTGTCGATCAAGTCGAGGAGATTCTTGATGAAGAGGTCCGGGGGCTGGCGCTTTGGCGTCAGCGCTGGCAGGGACTTCCAGGTGTAGTAGAGGGCGTCCCTGTAGGAGGTGATCTCCTGGAAGCGGGAGACGAGGGGCGCGTTGTCACGGTCCGGGGAGAGCAGCCGCATCAGCAGGGGCTTCAGGCGGTGCAGGGGAAAGTAGTAGGAGAGGTCCCCGGTGGGCTCTATTGGGGTCTTCCCTTCTTGGGAGAGGAGCTTCAGGGAGGTCGAGAGGGACTGCAGCTGCAGGGACTGCCGCGAGTCGGAGATGAAGGCCAGCAGCTTCTCCCAGAGCTCCTCGTAGCAGTTGCGGAGCCACGTTGTGTAGCGGAGCTCAGGGCTTGGCTCTGGAAATTTCATCCATTCATTTTTATTAGCAAATTCAATGATTTTTTTCAATCTTGAATTTTTATTTGTGACTGGAGGGCACGCCCCCTGCTCGCTCCACTTGCTAATCGTCATATGACCCTCATGATTCTTAATATGCCCTTTGTGACCCTTGTGACCCTTATTTTGACCTTTCATTACTGGCATTAAATTTTCGAGGCTTAATTTCGGGCACCAAATTTTCGTCGGCAAAAGTCGATTTGGATTTTTATAATATAGAAAGATATTGTGATCCTTATTTTGATGCTTCATTTCTGACATTTAATTTTGGAGTCTTAATTTCGAGCGCCTAATTGTTAATAGCAAAGGTCGATTTGGATTTTTACAACATAGAAAGATATTGAGACCCTTGTGACCCTTAGTATCTGACCCCCATGACCCTTATTTTGATCTAACCTTTGTGATCCCTAACCCTTGTGGCCTTTAATCTTGCGACCCTTAATCTGAGCCACACAACCCTTAATCTGACCCTTGGGACTCTTATTTGGACCTTATTCTGACCCTCATGACCCTTAATTTGGAGTACCAAATTTTTTCACCAGAAGTCGAATTGGATTTTTATAAGATAGAGAGATTTACACTTATAGTTGAGTTATTATTATTAAATTTGAATCTAATTTTTAATGTATTTTAGAGAACAGGAGGTTTTTTTCAGATTTTAGCCCATTTGAATCCAAAGTTAATCATTTTGGATCATCAGATGATCTAATTTTCCCACGAACTTAATAAAAGCAATGTTTTGTGCAAGTGAATTTCAATAGTTTTGGGCAATAGTTGAAATTTCATCAATTCTTCGGAATTTCTCGACATTTTCATAATTAATCTTTAAAGAATTCATCTAAAAATTCCTGAAAAACCGAAAATGAGTAGTTTCAAAAATAAAAATCTTCGTTCGCAAAATCCAAAGATCATTTTTCATTTCTGCATTTATGTAGCTCTAGAGTTGGAAATATATAAAAAATCATTAGAATTAATTGAAAAAATTCAAATAGAAAAATGTTTTTCGCATTCTTTTTGTCCATTGGAACACAAAATTAATAATCTTGGATCCTCTAGAGATGATCCAATTTTCCAGAAAATAAATACAATTTTAATTTATGATTGGAATTTATATTCAAGTTTTATTATTAAATTTGAATTTTTAAGAGATCAAATTGAAAAATATGATGTTTTCCTCATTTTTCAGTCCATTTGATCACAAAATTAATCATCTTGGATCATCAGATGATCCACTTTTCCCACAATTTGAATAAAATCAAAGTTTTATGCAAGGGAATTCCAATAATTTTCACAATAGTTGAAATTTCATTAATTGGAAATAATTGCAACAGTTTCACAGATGCCCTGCATCATCGACTATTGATTTTTCTAGTGCATGTGTACGAAAAGACCATTTCAGGAGTAAAATTACTCTCAACATTTGAAAAACAACAAGAACACTTATATAATCCTATCAGACCCTCCAAAACCCTCAACATTTCACAATTAAATTAAAAAAAATGTTCTCTCAATCTCGTAAAAATAGTTCCAATCACCCCTAGAACTCCTGGTATAGTCTCTGACACCTCTACCCCTCACTCACCCCCTCAAATACCTGGCAATTCCCCACAAAACCCCTAAATCATCCCCACAAAATCCGCAAAGCTGCTTTCCATTCCCAAAATCCAGGGATTTCCTCTGATTTCCGCATTTTTTGGGCCAAAAAAGTCATCCAAAACCGCAGAAAGCCTCGCAAACCGTTGAATTACCTGATATAGTCAACGATATTGTCCTCTCCAGATACATGTCCCCCCTCTTGAGCAGCTCCAGGAAGATGGTCTCCAGGGTGAGCACTCCCAAAGTCCCGCAGTCCTGTGAAAAACCATTGAAATTGCTCGTTCTAACCTCAAAAAAATCGTAAAACCTCAGAATTCTCGGAGACACTCACGTCCAGCTGGTTGATTATGTCCACCAGGTTGTTGGCGTACTTCCTGGAGGATAAGAACTCCTGCGCCTTGTGCCGGAGCTGCTTGGAGGACATCCTGGGGGTCTGCGGATCGCCGGGAAGTGAAGAGTCGACTGTCGCCATGATTCGAGAACTGACGGGTCGGCAGGTGGAGGGGGGAGTTCTCATCGTTTGAAAATATATGCGCGGGACTTTTTTAAGTAGTGACACTAGCTAGAAAATGGGGTGATACTCCTTTTTGCTTCCGAGTGGAAGCATTGAAATCGGCCGATTTCGATTTTCGATTCTCTAATTCAGTAGCGAAGCGGTAAAACGGTTCAAGTCGATTTTAGCTTTTGGTCAGTTTTCAATGAATATCTCGGAATGTAAGGCAAATAGTAAAATTTTCGTTAGAACCTTGTTTGTAGAGCGAATTGAGATCTATGAAAAAGCTCATTATGAAAATTTCGTTATCTCCCTTAGATTCGGAGATATTCCTCAACAAATCAGTAGAGGGCTAAGTCGACTTGAACCGTTTTACCGCTTCGTTACTGAATATTGCTTGGAAATGATGTAGAATGGTCTGAAACGTAAAAATACGAAGTTTGAGCATCATGTGTGTATGTGCGCGTGGTCAACTTGGTCCACTTGATGGTCAACTTTTAGAAAATTAAACGAATAAAGGGCTAAAATAATTCAAAAAAATTTGAAATTTTGTGAGATTATAGGTATTAACGAGGACTAAGTCTGTGCTAAAGTTCAGCTGAATCGGTTCAGCCATTTTTGAGAAATCATCATTTGTTTTTAAATCGTTTTTTGCAAATACCCCGAAAACTATCCAACCGATTTCAATTTTTTTTTTCAAAATACTCGTCTTGATGTCTTCTATCGCAATCTATCAAAATATCTATACCCGTTCATACAAAGTTTTTGAGATATTTCTGTTTTTCGGTTTTTCGCTGAAAATTTTTGTTAGCACTCTAGTTTTCCTAAAAATTGACATATTAATTTGAAATTTCGTACAAAGTTTCCTCTTGGCACTCAAATGTTTAGTATTAAAGATGGGCTAAATCGGACGGATAGTTTAGGAAATATTCGACTTTGTATCCAAATCTATTTTCTTGAATATCTCAAAAACTACTCAACCAATTTCAATTTTTTTTTTCAAAATATTCATCTCAATGTCTCCTATTCCAACCAATTGGAACATGCACAATTCATGCAAGTGATTCATGGCAAGTTCCCGAGAAATTCAAACTTTTCGATTTTTCGCTAAAAATCCGTCTTTGCACTCTAACTTTGGAAAAAATTGACATATTAATCTGAAGTTTGGCACGAAGTTTCCTCTTGTTTTACTTGAAAATTGAGAAAATCGGAGAATTTGCGTCTCACAGAAACTGAAATTTTTTACTCACCACAAAACAGAATTTTTATCTTCTTATTATTTTTTAAAAATAGAATTGCAACGGATCCACTCGGAAGCTTACTACCAATGAAATTGGTAGAGATGAAAGATAAAAAGACTAACAACGCATAAAGAAACAATAATATCTCTTCAGTCGAATAAGCGCGGCCCCCTACTTGTTCAATTAATTGTTTATAATCATTCTCATTGCAAAAAGCAATACAATTGATGAGAATCACATGCCCCAATTTATCAGCTCTTAAATTTTCATATTACAATAAATGATTTGCTCATGGTCTAATTCCTATGCTCACTGAATAAGATTTTAATCGTAATTGCAATTCAATTCCTTCNAATATCTCTTCAGTCGAATAAGCGCGGCCCCCTACTTGTTCAATTAATTGTTTATAATCATTCTCATTGCAAAAAGCAATACAATTGATGAGAATCATATGCCCCAATTTATCAGCTCTTAAATTTTCATATTACAATAAATGATTTGCTCATGGTCTAATTCCTATGCTCACTGAATAAGATTTTAATCGTAATTGCAATTCAATTCCTTCTAGAACACACTTTAGAGTGTGAATTTCTGGAATTCAATGTTTGTTGATACACACTGTTATCAATTTTTAGTTAGTTCACACAGTAATTCAATTAATCTGTTGTTCATCTCATCAATATAATTCCGTGCTTGGAATATTGTCATTTCGTGTTTTCAGCAGAAATTTGGTATTTGCATATCAATATTATTTGTTCAAAGTGAAAAAATCGATCATCATTTTCACTATATTGCATTCAGATTCTCCTATCCTTAACGTCAAAAATGTAAGATAATCTCATAATTCTAGCTATTAATTCTAATCGACTTTGTTCGAAGAAAACCTTAATAAACTTATAAAATAATTATAAAATAAAATAATTCTAATAAAATAATTCCTTACAAAATGGTTCTATTTTCCTCTGGCCTAAATGATTTGGACAATTATGAGTCGTTTATTCATGTTTCATAGAATGGTATTCAATTCTTTTTTATTTGTTCGACGGGCTTCATGAAAATTCGACGCAAGACCATTGTCCTCATGAAAACCGCCTTACTTTCTCCATTCGTTCAAGATATCCGCCATGTTGGAGTTCTCGTTTGATAAAAGAGATACGAATCTGGTTTTATTACAAGATTTATAATCGATCATAATTCAACAATTTGCAAAATTGTCTTTTGTAATTTGAGACTATTCATCTCACTACGTTTAAAAAAATGTAGATAAATTGAAGTCTCATTCATCAACTGTCGGTAAAACTCGACAGTCGGTGAAGTAAATACCGAAAATAAACTAACTTTATCAAAGTGGATCTCGTTCAATGGTCAATATTTCTCGAACGAATGGTCAAATGTGGACAAGTTACATCTCATTTCAAAGATTATGAAATTATCTTCAAAATGAGCCATGATTTTTTAAATTTCACTCTGCCAATCCCGAGATATTCACGCCCTAATACGAAAATCATTTTTTATTTCAGTTTCGTTATCGACGGAGGTACCAAAGACTTCCAGGAACCACCGATAGGGGATTCCCAGGACCATGTGGGATATTTGTTGATTATTTGGACGGTTCCGGGAGCGTGACAGTGAGGAACAATTGTCTTGTTCCCGTAATTATGCTTTAACCTTTCGAAATAATTTTTTTTCCGCATTTTTTGGGGGTCGAAAAGATGAAAATGAGGGAGTGGGGGTGGGGGTGCTTGTGGGTGGTGAATCTGGGTTAAGGTCGACTGGGAACCCCCGGCCCCAGCAGAGGTCGTAAATGTTATTGATGAGCACGTGTTTATAAAAGTGAGATAATCATTGTTTTGGAGGGAAAATAGTTGGATTTTTGGGTGCTGATTGGAGCGGGCGAGTGGCGGAGTGGAGGGGTTTTTAGGGGTGATTACCTGGAGGGCTGCGACTGGCGAAGGGCTGCTGCTGACCCAGAAGTATTTATATCCTAGCGGGAGCCGTGAGTAATCGATCAGAAAGGTCTTTGATGGCAGATGAAGTGATAAAAATCAAGAGGAAAAATAATTGAAGTTGAAAAGTGAGGAAATACTGAGGGAAATTTCTAGTTCATTAACGTTTTGATGGTTTCAAATTATCGGTAACAAATTAAATTGACTTTTTAAAAATAAATGTAGACGAATAGTTGCATGAATTTAGCGGATTTTTTTAATTTTTTAGTTTTTGAGGGTCAATTGCCCCCCAAAAAAGTTGAGGGTTGGTAAAAGGGTCATTTGACCCTTAACCCTACATGTCTTCAGGGGCCCTTAGAGACCCTTGAGTCCTTGGAGACAATTTGAACTTTAACTGCAAATAGTCGTGAGGGTTAAATGGCCCTTGAGAACAGGACGTTTTTTGGAGTTGAGGGTCAAAGTGTCAAATAACCCTTAGAATATTCATGGACCCTGTTAAGGGTCCAACGACCCTTTAGAACGCGGGGGGTTATAGTAAAGGTCATTGGACCCTTAATCCTTCACGTCTTCGCGGGTCGTTTACCCCTTGAGAAAATTTGACCCTCAACTCAACCTGGTAGTAAAGGTCAAACAACCCTTATTAATGTGTAGGGGTCAGGATCAAAAGGTTTTTTTGATTTTTTAAATTTGACCCTTAATCCGGCTTAAGTCAAATGAGTCTTTACAGAAAGGGTTATTGGACCCTTTAGTGAAAGGGTCATTTGACCCTTTAGAGGAAGGGTCACTTGGCTCTTTAGAGGAAGGGTCATTTGACTCTTTAGAGGAAGGGTCACTTGACCCTTTAAAGAAAGGGGCATTTGACCCTTGATACTGCACGTCTTCGAGTGTTTACCCTTTGATGGAATTTGACCCTCAATTCTAATTGGCCGTGAGGATCAAGTAGCCCTTGAAAACAATTAGCATTGAGGGCCAAATAACCCTTTCTCTGACCCTAAACATTCGTAAGTGTCATTTGACCCTCAACTCCCCGCCTTCAAGGACCCTTACCCCACAACACCCTTTGACCCTTAAGGTAATTTGACCCTCAACCCAAACGCTCTTAAGGGTCATTTGACCCTCAATAGCCCTCACTTCCTCAGTCAATTTTCGTTATTTTCAAAAATACTTACCGAAAACTCACTCTTCAGAGCAATAACTCTCAATCGTCCTCTCGTTTTTCTAGAAACCTAAATCCAAAGTTTCCAAAAATGGCGAAATATGAAAGTACCGAATTAACCCGCGAAGATTTCGACGCAGGTCCCTCAAGTGCCGACGAGATCGAGCCCAACTTATACTTAGGAAATTTGACAGCAGCGACTGACGTCAAATGGCTCAAAGAAACCAAAATCACGCACATTTTAACAGTGGATTCCTGTCCACTCCCTAGACGAATCCAGCTGCTTCCCGATTTGACCGTGAAGTATATTCAGCTGACGGACATGCCGCGGGAGGACTTCCTCCCCTTCTTCGATGATTCTTATAATTTCATCGATCAAGCCCTGACTTCGAGCGGAAAAATCCTGGTGCATTGCTACTTCGGGGTGTCCAGGTCTTCTACCCTGGTCATCGTATACATGATGAAGAAGTACGAGATGACTTTTGACGCGGCCCTGGAGTTGGTCAAGTCCAAGAGACGATTCGTAAGTCCGAACGCGGGGTTTGTGGCTCAGCTGAAGCTTTACGAGGACATGGGGTGCACGATAGACACTAGGAATGTTCAGTTCAAGATGTACAGGCTGCAGATAGCTGCTGATAAGGTAAGGATATTTTTATGTGAAGTTATCGTTGTGAAAATAGGGATACTGAAGAAAAGTTTTTTTTTGCCCTCCCGTTCGACCCTTACGACCAATGGGAGAGTTGACCCTTAAAGGCTGTTGATCTTCTGATCAGTCTGATTGGTGTTGCGATCCTCATTTGACCGATGATTAAATGAAAGAACTGACCCTCAAGGGCTCGTGCTCTCCCGTTTGACCCTTATCATAAAATGGAGTTAATCCTCAAGGGCTCTTGTCCTCTCTTTTAATTTATTATGAAAAGAGAGTTGACCCTTAAGGGCCCTTGCTCTCTTATTTGACCTTTATTATCACATGGGAGAGTTGAGCCTTGCTCTCCCATTTCATCATAAGGGTCAAATGCGCGAGTATACCCTTGCCCTCTCGTTTTACCCTTGGGATTAAATAAAAGGGTTGACCCTCACGCGCCCTTGCTCTCCCGTTTGACCCTTATCATAAAAAAAGGGTTGACCCATAAGGGCTCTTCCCCGTCCAAAAAAAAAGAAAATGTTTTTTTTTTCATTTTTTTTAAAGTTTCATCCCTCAAGTGTTTCAATGCCTTTAAATGCTTCGTAGCTAACCGTTTGATAATTGAGATTGAAAAAAAATCAAACCACCGATTCTTCCCTTCCCCCAAGGTTCGAAAAGCTAGGATTCTCCCATCGACATACGTGGATCTGATAAAACCCGATCCAGCCCTAGAAACCGTCCGTCCAGAGCCAACGGTATACCGTTGCAAGAAGTGCCGGAGGATAGTTGCAACCGCCAGCAACATCCTCCCCCACGCACCAGGTCAAAGACACGTATGGCGGTATGTGAGCAGGAGAGGCGACAAGGGTAAAGTTCTCCCGGTGAAGGACTCCCGACCTGACGAGGTGTGCGACAAGATCTACTTCATCGAACCCATCGCCTGGATGCCGGACATCCTGCACCACGTCGAGGGCAAACTGAACTGTCCCAAGTGCGAGGCTAAACTGGGGGCATTCAGCTGGATATCAGGGTGCCAGTGCCCCTGCACCACCAAGATTGCACCTGCTTTCTACCTGGTGCCCTCTAAGGTCGAATGGAGCAATGCTGTGCAGAATGTTCTTGTGACTGTCTGAAGGGGGCGGGGTTGTTTACACGTGTTGAACCAATTTTTGAATAAAGTATTAGGTTTATATCCGTGTGCCAATGTAGGTAGCTGTTGTGGGTGGAATGATCTACATTTTTTTGAAACGTAAAATACGTCGAAGAAATAATATTTCGGGGCAAAGGGTCAAATGGGAGAGATAGGCGGAGTCAGAAGGGTCAAAGGAGTTAAAGTTATGGGAAGGATCAAACAGTCGTAAGGGTTAAATGGGAGAGGTGAGGAAAAGATCAGAAGGATTGAATGATTGTAAGGGTCAAATGGGAAAGTTTCGCCTCAAGGGCTGTTGCCCTCCGGTAAAAGACAACTCTTCCGTAATCGTGAGGATCAAAAGGGAGAATTGACCCTCAAGGGCTTTTGCTCTACCATTTGACTCTTTTGATAAAATGAGAGTTGACCCTTGAGGGCCCTTACCCTCCCGTTTGACCCTCATTATCAAATGAGAGATTTGACCCTTAAGGGCCCTTGCTCTTTCATTTCACCCTTACGATGAAATGGGAGAGTCAACACTTGAGAGATCTTGATCTTCCGTTTGACCCTTGCGATAAATCGAAGAGTTGATTCTCAAGGGCTGTTGCTGTCTCCTTTGGCTCTTAAGACAAAATACTAGGAGAGTTGACCCTCAAGGGCTGACTGCTCTCCCGTTTGGGTCTACAAAAAGTTTCCCGAATTGCCTTCAGTTTAAAAGCAATAATAACTGGATAATGAATGCATTTACGAAAAAATGTCATAAGAGATTTTTTGTAGAAAATGTAATTAGCTACAAAAAAGGTTCTTAGACATTTTCTCCTAAAGCCAATAGTTTTCGAAATAAGTTCGATTTTATCAAACATGAAATTTCATTTTTTACGTTCACCCACTTCATCAGTGAATCGAAAGTGAATTAGATTTAGATTCTATCGTATTTTGTATTTTCTTCTTTTTTAAGATTGTTGATCATTCCAAGACTATTAAGAGTAATTTTCTTCCTCAAAATTATTCAGAATGACTTTTATTAAACTAATATTTGCCGCTATTTAAACAAGAATTTCGATCCGATTTTTGCTGAACCAAGACTCGAGTAATGTTGACTATTTCGAATTAACGTGCCAAATATACTCAGAGCCCACTGGATGTGATTCGAGACGACATTTTTAACACATAATTAAACTTGTGTCGATGAATTTACCCCAGTTTCAATGACATATATCTCAATGTGAAACTCCGCTGATGTTTACATAACGTATACCAATATGAATTCATTCACACGAGTTAATTCACTTCTCCTTTTTATTGAATTACAAAGTTCATAATTTTTACGTGGGCCGCTGGCCACGATAATAAAATCAATGTTCGATATAAATTTGTTTTTTAATTTATTAATTACCCTGTATTTTTCTGAGAAAATCCCATAAAAAATCCTGAAAAAAACTTTTTTGTGGTTTTTAAAAAGTGGATTATCTCAATAGCGAGTGGTTCGAGAGAAAAATGTCATAAAACATTTTTTGTAGAGAATTTCTTCAGTTAAAAAAATGTCTTGTGAAATTTTTTCCTATCTCCAATCCCCACCGAGATAATCAAGCATTTATCAAGGGCCAGAATAATCTAAATTCTTATCACTATCCAAATTTCACATCAACTGTTTCCTAATTGATAATTATCCCAGTACTGAGACGTCTTACGACAAAAAGTCATAAGACATTTTCTTTCGGAAATTGAATTCCCTACAAAAAAAGTTTTATGATGTTGCCTCTCAAAATCACTCCCTACCGAGATAACCGCCCAATCCGAACTTCACAATTTCGTCATCACCAAAAAAATTGATTCCAATCGTTGGGACTTCCTCAATACTTAAATACCTAATCCTAATCCTTATCCATAAATACAAAATTCTCTTTGGCATTGAGAAGGCACTCGACATTTTCCGAAAATATTCTGTCACATACTGGCATGCATGGCGGAGTAAGCAGTCCCATAGGGATGACCCCTGAGTCTCAGTGCGTTAAATCCATTAATTCCGCCCTCGATGCCACTGTGGACGTCAGCCTGATGATAAGAACTGAATCCCGTAGCACCAAGATTGCCGTTAACAAAGCCGTGACAACTCGCGGATGTCTGAACAGCCCCATAAGGCTGGGACGATCGCCAGTAATCACCGTAGGGATACTGAGGCACTTGGCTAGACTGCAGTGGCTCGGAGTTGGTCTCGTGGGTGTGGGCAATTCTGATGGGTCTCAACGGTAGAGTTGTCTCAATTTCACGTGTCGATGAGGCACCTCTGTTCAGGGCGGAGCTCCTCTCATTTCTACGGAATTTAGCTCGACGATTTTGAAACCAAACCTGTGGAAAAAAATTGAAATGTCGAATGGACTCGGTTTATTTTGGAAATATCTCGAGAGGGGGTAGGTTTAGGAGAAAAATTTCAAGGACCTTTTTTGTAGAGGATTAAATTTCCTGTAAAAAAGGTCTTATGATGTTTTTTCATTGGATGACTCATTATCAGTGTAATTGAAGTGAAAATTGAAGGAATGAAACACTAGGAAATATGAGGAAAAAGGAAGTATTCGCACAATTCAAGAACCTATTTTTTTTATTGGTCAAAGGGTCGTGAGGGTCAAGCGACTCTTGAGAACGGGGGTTACAGCAAGGGTCATTTGAGTCTTGATCCTTCACGTCTTCAAGGGTGGTTCTCTCTTCAAGATAATTTGACCCTTGAACTCCAAATGGTCATTTTTAGTTGAGAGTAAAATGAGGGTCAAACGACCCTTGAAGACGTGGGGGTTAAGGGTCAAATGGTCGTGAGGGTTAAACGCCCCCTAAGGACATTTGAAGTCGAGGGTCAAACGACCCTTATGATCCTTGAGGGTTACAGTAAGGGTCATTTCACCGTTAACTTCAAGTGGTCCTTGACCACCAAATGGTCGTTTTTAATTGAGGGTAAAATAATCGTAAAGGTCAAATGATCCTTAACAATTTGTGGGCTTGAGGGTCAAAAGGTTTTGAGTGTCAAAAGACCTTTGATAATTATAAAGATTCAGAAAAAGATCGTGAGAGTCCAATGATCCTTAACGACGTTCGGGGCTAAGGGTTGAATGGTCTTAATGGTCAACTAACCCTTGAAGACCTTTTTGATCATCCTGCTCTAGCTCGTTAGACCCTTGAGACCATTTGACCCTCAATTTTTAAAAACTCCTGAATTGAACGAACACTTCTTTTTTCCTAATGTTCCATTTTTCGTTATTTCGCGTTTCATTATTTTATAAATATCTCAAAAACCAGTAGACTTACAATAAAATGCCATAAGACCTTTTTTATATCTAATGAAATTCTCTACAAAATTTTTTTTTCACATTTTCCTCGGTCTCCACTCCTTGCCACGATAATCAAACAAATACAATTGCGAGTGGATTAATTAAGCTCAGCACGATCTGTCATTTCCAAAACAATTTGCAAAACCGTTTCAAAATCAACTCTCCCGAATTTTCCCTCATTTTTACCCAGCCCCTCTCGTTTTTTACAAGGAAGGAGAAGCGGATACGAGCGACGACGGGACAGCGTGACGGCTCCTGGCAGTCGTGCCACACAAGAGAATGAGGATGAGCCAGTTTAAAAAAGGGAACGAAGAGGGAATCCGAAAAGCCACCACTGACGTGCACACGTGCTCCGAACTATCCCGACACGCTTGTGCAAGCATGTGCGTGGTATCTTCAGCTAGTGCCGCTGCAGGGCTAATGATAGCTAGTCCGCCTGACAACCTGTCTCCTCTGATTTTCTGCCTAGCTGTCCGCGCTCCCCTCATCCTCACTATTTCACTACATTCGCCAAAAACTTGTCAAGCTCGTGTCTTATCCATTCCAAAAGCCCCTGAATACACTTACACTTTTTGGGAGGGATTCAATGGTAAGTGACAAATTATTTCAACATTGTTGCATTGCCAATTATTTTGTTGTTTATTTTGATGAATTAAAATTAGTTTCGGCAGAGGAAAATAAAAAATTAGTTCAACAGAAGGTTAATTTTTTGCTTTCGAATGGAAGGTTTGCATTCGTCAATTACGAAATTTCAATTTTTTGTGTCAGGATAACTAACTTTGGTTTCGGGAGTTCGAATATGCTATTTTTAGATCCTGTCCGAATGTATGTGTGTGTATGTATGTGTTTATGTGACCAATCGTTTTTAGACGTTTTGACTGGCAATGTCGGGGCAATGTCGGCTGCCGACGGTGAGGTAATGTTCGTTGTCAACATTGGGACAATGTTGGCTGCCAACGTCGGGGATATGTCGGCTGCCAACGTTGGGCCAGTGTTGGCAGCCAACGTTGGGGAAATGTCGGTTGCCAATATTGGGGCGATGTTGGGTGTCAACGTTGGGCCAATGTTGACTACCAACGTTGGGTCGATGTTGGCTGTCAACGTTGTGCCAATGTTGGCTGCCAACATCGGGAAAATGTCGGTAGCCAATATTGGGGCGATGTAGGGTGTCAACGTTGGGCCAATGTTGACTGCCAACGTTGGGTCGATGTTGGCTGTCAACGTCGGGCCAATGTTGGCTGCCAACATCGGGGAAATGTCGGTTGCCAACGTCGGGGAAATGTCGGTTGCCAATATTGGGGCGATGTAGGGTGTCAACGTTGGGCCAATGTTGACTGCCAAAGTTGGATCGATGTTGGCTGTCAACGTCGGGGAAATGTCGGTTGCCAATATTGGGTCGATGTTGGCTGTCAACGTCGGGCCAATGTTGGCTGCCAACGTCGAGGAAATGTCGGTTGACAATATTGGGGCGATGTTGGGTGTCAACGTTGGGCCAATGTTGACTGCCAACGTTGGGTCGATGTTGGCTGTCAACGTTGTGCCAATCTTGGCTGCCAACATCGGGGAAATGTCGGTTGCCAACATTGGGGCGATGTTGGCTGCCAACATTGGGCAATGTTAAGCTCAATGAATCAATGACTTCAATTTAAAATACACCGTCATAGCAATTCCATTCGGAAGCAAATTGCCAATTTATTAGTGAAGATATATTAACTATGCTGTGACGAAAGCAATTTCCCCATTTGTCTTAAATTAACGAAATTAGTAAATAAAATTGATTTTTATAAAAATAATACCTGCACCCTTGCTTCAGATAGCGCCACCCTAGTCGCGAGTTCCTCCCTAACAAAAGCATCGGGATAATGTGTCCTCTCGAAAACTCTCTCGAGAGCTGCCAATTGCTGTGCAGAAAACGTCGTTCTGCTCCTCCTGGGTCGTCTGCCCCCTCCACTCGCGTCACTGCAGTCTAAACCCCCCACGCAGAGACAAAAAACAGATCTTAATCAACAAAAAAAAAAAAGTCCCCAGGAGTGACGATTTTTTGAGCATAACTAAGGTGAATTGTTTCCACTGACTCGTGGAATTGTGGTTGCAAATGGGCCAGAGGGTGTCTGCACTCGACTCGTGACGGTCTGTTCTGCTGAGGCGAGAACACTCGACGCGCCGACTGGGGTAAGTCGAGCGTTAAAAAAAAAGAGAGAATGTGACTGAGAGACGAACAACGATTCAGTGGTGCGATATACGCAGAAAGGGGCAGACACGCGGATTTTCTGAATGGCACCCACTGTGCTTGGGCAATCATCAAAGCGGCATAATACGAGCAGCATGACGTAAACGAAACGCGTTATTTGGAGCCAATCAAACGCCTCGGAGGAGAGCCTCACGGAGATCTACGCAATTTCGATGGGTTTTAATGATTATGTATTGATAGCTGGTTTTAGAGGTATTCTTGGGAGTTGTGAATGATGTTTTTTGTTGTGAGGTCATTTGAATTGAAGAATTGAACGAAAAATTTTTTTACATCCTCGTGAATTGCGATATCGGGATTTTTATCCCGAAAAAAAAACAATTTGCTTATTAGCTGAAATGTTCAGAATGGGGGATTTGAACCCGTTACCTTCCAATTACCAGATGGACCGTTCAACTGATTCAGCTACTGAGAGTTACCGCATTTACCATTGATTTTATCATCGTTTTGAATAATTAAGATTTAATTGTGCAATGAATAAAATTTTTGTTGGCATTGATGGCGAGGTTAACTCAAGAGCCAGAAACATGAATTATGATCATATGGGATTTGAACCCACAAGCTTCAGATTACCAGAAGGATGTTTTAACTGATTCAGTTACCGGGAGTTACCACGTTTACCATTGATTTCATCATCATTTTGATTAACTAGCGAGGTATATATATATATATATATATATATAGATATTTATGTTAAATAATATCAGTATAATATAATAATTCCTCAATGAAATCAGATCATGAACATAAAATTTTTCGTTTTCATGATCTGATTTCATTGAGAGAAAAGGAGAAAAATACAGGAAGAGATGATCAGCAAGAAAATAAAAGAAAACGATTTTTTATTTTTCTGAAAAATTTCAAAACTGATTTTTTTTTTAATGACGAAAAAATATCTATAGGTTCCCTTTCTATGTTCTAATTTCAATGGAAGAAAGTGAAAAAAGAACAGAGATACGTGATCAGTAAGAAAATAAAAATTTCGATTTTTCAATGTTTCCGGAAATTTTTGAAATTGATATATTGTTTCAAATAATGAAAGAATACCCATCAATTCAATTTCTACCCTCACATTTTGATAGAATACATAAAAAAAATAGCGAAGAATAAAAATCCGAGATGAAAAATTTTAGGGGATTAATATAATGTAATAATTGATCTGTATTGTCAGGAGTTGTGAGTGGATTGTTTGTTGCGCTGTGTACGGAATTGTTGAATTAAATAAAAATATTGTTGACTTCAAGGAGTGCATTACGATATTAATAGAAAGCCTTAATAATAATAATAATAGTAATAATAATAATAATAATAATAATAATGGCCGTGTGGGATTTGAACCCACAAAAACAAGTTGCTCCAATGTTTAACACTCATTTAAGAAAAAAAGTATTGAATTCTATTAATGCATTCCCTGACTCCTACGGATGACTTTCACACGGGATTTGAACCTATCACCATCAAATTATCAGAACGATTTAACCGATTGAGCGACTGGGAGTTATCACATTTACCAGTGATTCGATCATCGCTATTTATATTTTATTTTTTATGAGAAAGAATAAGAAAAAAAATATTGAATTCCATTAATGGATTCCCTGACTCATGGATGATCTTCAGGGAAACTCCTATAAGGGGAAAGAAGAGAAAATTTCACCAATATTTTTATTCAACAAGTGAAGGGAAATGAGAAATTGAAAGATCATTAATGATGTGCATGTGGGATTTGAACGCGCAACCTTCGGATTACCATTCCATCTCACTAACCGCTTCACCACATTCACCATTGAATCTCCCATCTCACAAGCCCCAAGAGACAAAAAAAATGCCACTAAAATTTTTCAAGTGTCAAGTGGCAAATTCTCTCTTCAAGTCCATTTTGAATTTTGGCCATTTTTTGATGAATATCTCGGAATCTAAGAGACATAGCAAAATTTTGCTCATGACCTTTTTTACAACCTTCAGTTGACTCCACAAAAAAGGTCATGACAAAATTTTTTCTCTCTTTTAGATTCCGAGATATTCGTTAAAAACTGGCCAATAATAAAAATCGACTTCGGTTTACCTCTTCGCTACTAAATTACCGAAAACTAATCCTATTTACTAAAGATGAAAAAAACGTGAAGTTGTTTTATATCGAAATATCTCGAAACTGCCTGACCGCTAATCCTTAATTCTGATTGGTCAGTATGTGACACGAAGTTATTCCCAAAAAAAAACACGCGGCATTTTCAAATTCTTCAGTGACATAATTTCATATTCTTCAGTGGTAATTTTTTTTTCACGTCATATATAATATATATATTTCACATGTATATATATATTATCGGTGAAATTAATAAATTCTGTCCTTTTATGGAGACCGATTATTTAAAAAAATTGAAGATAATTAATTGAAAATGAAAAATTCTTTATAGATTCTTTTACTCTACTTCGCAATTCACTTCAATCATTAGTCGAATTCTCTTTGATTCATTATCAATATTTATAAGGTATTCATGAGAAAATGAAATTCAAGGAATTCCATTTCTTCATTTCAACAAATGAAGAGATCAGCGCGCGCGCATAGATCTTGTAAAAATAAATCGAGAAACTCGAGCGATAAATTCCCCGCTAACCCAATAAACTCCATCTTTTCAATTACCCCTCCCAACTCCCCCAACCCGCACCAAAAATTAACCAACCTTCCCCCAACCACCCCGGAAATTAATGAAACTGCTAATTACCAAGACTGTGGGTGGGTGTCGATAACAGCCTCGACACCGTGAAATCCTGCGGCACGTGTGGATTCGGCACTTGCGTAGGCACTCCACTGCTCTCATTGTCCAGCATTTTGTCAAAAAAATTCCCCAACAATTTTCACCAAAATTACTCTCACTCCGCGAGCGGTACCCCGCCTAATCCCATACCAAACAGAATAAAAAAATGCACATAAAGTCACTTAAAATTACTCGACTCATCCATCAAATTATGATAATACCAAACCGGCATTAAATTCTCTCACTCGACCCACATGATGCCCCGGAGACCCAGATTAAACGATTCCATCAAAATTCCTCACACTCTCTCTCCTTTTTGTTATTCATACGCATCACGTGTTACACGGACTAATCGAATTATTCAAATTACAGGTCCAATTTACCACGGACTTGCTAATGCATTCAGCCAAATGACAGTCGTCAATGCTTTTTCGTGTCTCGTGGCATTCACTCCCCCCAATAGTCCCATTCGCGGGGCCGGAGGGGCGGGGAGGGGGGAGGGGGGGGGCGGGTTTCTACCGCGGGGGTAGAAAATTAAATGGAGATGAATACGTAAAATTAATCTCGGAGATTATTTTATCCCGGACGCGTGCGCTGGGCGGCAGAATGCCAACTGACTTTGGAGTTAAGACGTACTTAATGTTTCTCAGTCCTCTCGCACTGACGTCTTCACCATCCCCCTCGGTCCACGGTGATCTGCCACTGTCTCACTTTAACATATGCCCCGGGGGCAATTATCTTGCTCTTGTTTTCGTCGCTTAGACACGGGAAATAGAGCGTTTTAGGAGTGGGTGGGGATTTGGAGTTTGGCTCCACCCGGTTTGGGGTATCATTGGTTGGGTTATGCACTGATTGCTGCGAGATTTTAATTAATTGAGGGGGGCAGTGGGTTTGATTAGGGAGGGGAGGGGGGTAGTTGATATTGGGGGATTGATGGGGTTTTGCTCTGGGTAGAGAAAGATTTATTTCTTTCGGGGGAGTGTTTTTGCTGGCGTGTTGAATGGTTTTTTTAGGTGAAAATGTTGTCGTTTTTTGACTCTCCGGAGACTTTTTTCATTTTTACTCGCTTTTTTGTATTTTTTGTCAGCTTTATTATTGCTTTTTTTTACGTTTTTTCTTGCTTTTATGGTTTTTTTACTTTGACCCTCGTGACCCTCATTTTTACGTTTTCATTATGAAGCTTGGATTGTAATTTTTATTCTGACCTTTATTTTTGCCCTCATGGACCTTGCGAAGACTCTTCATCTATTCAACTCTCAAAAAGTAAAAAAAAACGCTCTTTACAATACATTTTATGTTGGCCCTTTTTTTTTTGCTTTAATTTTGACCCTTACTGAACCTCGCACTATCATTTTTATTCCGACCCTTGTGAACCCTCATCCCTAATTCTCAAAAAATGCGAGAAAATACTAAATATTTTAATTTAATTAATATTATTAAATATCTCTCTATATTATAGAAATCCAAGTCGACTTATGGTGATGAAAATTTGGTATTCGAAATTAAGACTCAAAAATTAAGGATCGCAAGGGTAAAAATAAGGGTCACAGGGGTCAAAATAAGGGTCACGAGGATCAAAATACGGATCATGAGGGTTAGAGTAAGGACCGTCAGGGGCAGAATAAGGGTCATGAGGGTCAGAATAAGGGTCATGAGGGTTGGTGAGCGGAGCGAGCAGGAAAATCCACATCGAGTTGTGGTAATTAAAATTTGGTACTCGAAATTAAGGGTCCAAAATTAAGGGTCGCAAGGGTAAAAATAAGGGTCACAGGGGTCAAAATAAGGGTTACGAGGATCAAAATACGGATCATGAGGGTTAGAGTAAGAGCCGTAAGGGGCAGCATAAGGGTCATGAGGGTTAGATTAAGGGTCACAAGGATCAGAATAAGGATCATCGGGGTTATATGAGGAACGTATGTGGGTCATATGGGGGTTGGTGAGCGGAGCGAGCAGGAAAATCCACATCGAGTTGTGGTAATCAAAATTTGGTACTCAAAATTAAGGGTCGCAAGGACAAAAATAAGGGTTACAGGGGTCAAAATAAGGGTCATAAGGGTCACGAGGATCAAAATAAGGATCATGAGGGTTAGAGTAAGGGCCGCGAGGGGCAGAACAAGGGTCATGAGGGTTAGATTAAGGGTCACAAGGATCAGAATAAGGATCATGGGGGATATATGAGGAACGTATGTGGGTCATATGGGGGTTGGTGAGCGGAGCGGAGCGAGCAGGAAAATCCACATCGAGTTGTGGTAATCAAAATTTGGTATTCGAAATTAAGGCTCCAAAATTAAGGGTCGCAAGGACAAAAATAAGGGTTACAGGGGTCAAAATAAGGGTCATAAGGGTCATGAGGATCAAAATAAGGATCATGAGGGTTAGAGTAAGAGCCGTAAGGGGCAGAATAAGGGTCATGAGGGTTAGATTAAGGGTCACAAGGATCAGAATAAGGATCATGGGGGTTATACAGGGATCCTATGTGAGTCATGTGGGGGTTGGTGAGCGGAGCGAGTAGAAAAATACACATCGAGTTGTGGTACTCAAAATTAAGGGTTGCAAGGGTCAAAATAAGGGTCACAGGGGTCAAAATAATGGTCATGACGGTCAAAATAAGGGTCATAAGAGTCACAATAAGGGTCATGAGGGTCATATGGGAGTTGGGGGCGTAGCCCCCAACTATAATAAATACTAACTATAAATACTAACTATAATAAATTTTATTCTGATGCTCATTTTTCAACGTTCGTCCTGGCCCTTATTTATCTATTTCCTTTTATTCCGAACATCATTCTGTAAACCTTCCATTGTAATCTTCCCGCTGACCCTCGCGACCCTTCTCCATTAATAAACAATATACATAACTAATAAACAAATAAAATAACTAATATACAATAAAATCTAAAAAGGACGATAAACAAAAAAAATAACACAAATTTTATTCTGACCCTCATTTTATGCTTTCATTCAGAACCTTACATTACAATCTTTACTCTGACCCTTGTAAACCTTCTCCATTGATAATTGAATTTTTTTTTAATGCAAAACAAAAAAATCATCGTTTTTTGCAGAAAAATTTTTTATTCTCCTCATTCAAACCGACTTTTTGCCGGCGGCGCCACTCGAACCACTGCCCTGTCCTCGCATTTCCAGTGAATACGCCGGTCAGTATTGAATTTCACAAGCTTCTCAAGTTATCTAAAACCATCTTCAAACATAATACATCCTCCTCCATGCCACTTGTCTCATCCTCTTTTCAAATGCATTCCATTCAGAAATAATTCCTAATAGCCGTGTATTCACGTGGCCGGGGGTATTATGCAAGAGTTTTTATGACTCCGGATTTGTTCGATTTTGTCGTAAAATCTGAGGTGATTTGACGTTTACGAGAGGCCTGGGGGGAGGAGACACTTTTGGAGTTAGTGACGACAGCTGAGGCCCCGCTGGGATAAACGGAGGATACACTGTAGTCAGTTGATGGAATTATTGTGATTCTCCGGGCTTCGGAGGGCTTCTGGGGGAGGGGAGAGGGTTGAAGGGATCAGTCGGGTTGTTTGGGAGCTTGCGGAGGTGATGGGTGGCTTATAAAATTCTTGGGACGACTAGACGGACGGGAGCGTCGCGGCGCTCTGACGGCTACACGTCGGGCTCCACGGGGAGAATTATTACGCGGGTCTGCATGAATGCTTTTTTGGGTTTTCTTCGGGGTGACGGCTCTGGCCGACGTTCAATTTTTCAGCTCATGCTTGTATTCGCATCGGCAGAACAACATGAGGAGAACTACTTCATGTTGTTTACATTTTTTTTCTTCATTGTAACGTTGCGAAATTATTCTGTTAATTTTCAATTTTTTTTGACGATTAATTTTTTTTTGTGAATCAGGTTTTTTGTTCTCCCTTTTTTGAGACACGATTTGTTGATTTGCTTTCTCAAAATTTCCAGAATTTATTTATTTAAATTGTTTTTTATTGCAGATTTTTAAATTCACGATTATATTTGTTTTGATAAAAAAACTATTGCTTTTTTAACAATAAAAATAGTTTTAAACTGTTGATCAATTTTTTAATTTTATTTTTAACATTTAATGAAAGAATTCTTAACAATTTATTTTCGTTGATTATAAATCTTCAAACTTGTGATTAATTTTTCTATCAATAAAAAACGATTGTTGAATCGTTAATAAATTAAATAAATTTCATTTATTCTACTGTTCTTTACAAAAAACAACGAAAAATATTGCAAAGTGTAAATTTAATTTTGGTTCACATGTTTAAAATTTTTCAGTCTTCTCAAAATTATTTCTTTATCTTTAAAAGTTTATGTTTCTTTGCTTATGAATCTTCAAATTCCCAATCAATTTTTTTAACAAAAAAAAAAGTTTTTTTTTAACAATAGAAATAATTTCAAATTGTTAATCAATTTCTTTTATTTTATTTTCAACAAAGAAAATCAATAAAAAATATTACAAATTGGGAATTCAGTTTTGTTTAATATGTTTAAAATCTTTGAATTTTCTCAAAAATTATACCTCTCAATATTTATTTTTCATTCATTTTCTTTGATTAGGGTTTTTTAAACGATTTTAACGATATTTTTCACGATTAATTTTTTTTATTAATAAAAAAATAAAAAATGTTTTCAATAATAGAACTAATTTTAAATTGTCAATATATATTTTTTTGTTTTCCAATAAAAAAAAATCAACGAAAAATATTGTAAATTGTGCATTCAATTTTGTTCCATTTGTTTAATTTTCTTTCTTTAAATATCTTTTTTTCGTTTATTTTTGTTTGATTATAAATCTTCAAATCCCCAATCAATTTTTTTAACAGTAAAAAAAATTGTTTTTTTTTTTAACAATAGAAAGAATTTCAAATTGTTAATCAATTTCTTTTATTTTATTTTCAACAAAGAAAATCAATAAAAAATATTACAAATTGGGAATTCAGTTTTGTTTAATATGTTTAAAATCTTTGAATTTTCTCAAAAATTATACCTCTCAATATTTATTTTTCATTCATTTTCTTTGATTAGGGTTTTTTAAACGATTTTAACGATATTTTTCACGATTAATTTTTTTTATTAATAAAAAAATAAAAAATGTTTTCAATAATAGAACTAATTTTAAATTGTCAATATATATTTTTTTGTTTTCCAATAAAAAAAAATCAACGAAAAATATTGTAAATTGTGCATTCAATTTTGTTCCATTTGTTTAATTTTCTTTCTTTAAATATCTTTTTTTCGTTTATTTTTGTTTGATTATAAATCTTCAAATCCCCAATCAATTTTTTTAACAGTAAAAAAAATTGTTTTTTTTTTTAACAATAGAAAGAATTTCAAATTGTTAATCAATTTCTTTTATTTTATTTTCAACAAAGAAAATCAATAAAAAATATTACAAATTGGGAATTCAGTTTTGTTTAATATGTTTAAAATCTTTGAATTTTTTCCAAAATTATTCCTCTCAATATTTATTTTTTATTTATTTTCTTTGATCATGATTTTTAAAACGATTTTAACAGTATTTTTTCATGATTAATTTTTTATTAATAAAAAATATAAAAAATTTCAACAATAGAATTGATTTTAAAT